ATGCAAAAAAAAAAAAAAGAAACCCACAGAAAACAATCCGAGATGAAGACGGGTGGGAGCCTGTTGCTTTTGGAGCTGGAGCTGGTTTTCTTTCGTCTACAGCCTAGAAGGACCAAGCGCTTTCAGAAAATGTGCATCTCTCCTCTTTGCGTTGATTTATCCATCAATCCATCTGGGATCCATGATAGGTCTGATCGATTTTTTGGGACAGTCTCCTCAAAACCGAGTCACAGATACATGTCCATGTACGATCTAATAATGGCCACTTCCTCACGTCGTCCTGTGTCGTCTTTGCCGTTCTGTTTTATCTTTCAGGCTCCGCAGATGGAAAGTCTCTAAATCTCAGAGAGACTCGAAGGAGGCTGCAAGCTCGCTCTCTCTCTCTCTCTCTCTCTCTCTCTCCCTCTCTCTCTCTCAGGTTTCAGGCAGCCAATCACAGCGATCCAGCTCCCTCAAACACACAGACAGACACGGCTCGCTTTGCTTTGAATGCTGATTAACATTCAGCACTTGTGCTCAGAGGTGGGACAGCGAGAGGGAAGAACATGGAATTATGGAATGGAATTATTATGGGAGAGAGATGAACACAAAGAACATCATAAAACGACAAGTGTGACTGGCGAATAGTCTATAAAAATACAGTCTATAAAAAAAAAGCATTAAGGGATGAAGCTCAGTAAAACATCCAGTTCACCATAAAAATAAAAAACAAACAAACAAAAAAAAAACATTAAATTAAATTAATTATTATTCTTATTTTTGATGCATTGCAGTAATGGCAATGATATTTTCTTCTTTTGATTTTGGGGAGAAATACAGCCTGACCTTCTTGGCAGATTTCATTAGATTTATCAGTTTTTTGTGTGTGCATATTTAATGCAATATTAATAATTAAAAATGTCCAACCAATTTTACTTCATATATTTGGATTATGTCAGCACATTAAATATGCAAATAGAAATGATTAAATATTAAATCTTGTTGATTTTGATTGCTTCCATTGTTCACATTTGTAAGTCGCTTTGGATAAAAGCATCTGCTAAATGTCTAAATGTAAATGTAAATATACACACACAAACACACACGCACGCACGCACGCACACACACATATATATTAGATTATTACATATCTCTCTTTATGAGATATCTAAACTTTGAGACTAACGTGAGCAAAGCAGTTTTTTTGATGAACGATTACAAATCTTTGTAAATTTTTTATTAATAATGTATAAATTACGATAAATTTAGATTTACAACTATGATTTGATTCTTACAACTATAGCTACACTGCAGATGCATTTTAAATATGGTTCATTTATTATTCATCGTACTGTAACATATTCAAAAACATATCTTGGGCAGAAGTGATCTGCATTTTTATATTTGTAATATCCTAAAATATTGCTATAATATTTAATATCAAAGACTAATATTTTTGCAGTACTTGAGTAAAACGTTGAACTTAAACATTAATATGAATTTTGAAATGCAGTTTGTTTTCCTTTTACTTTAATTGCTTTAATGAAATGAAATTTACATTCAACTTAAATGAACATTTCCTTGCACAATCATTACTCGAACTGTTTTCAACAAATTTGAAAACGCAGAAAAGCATGATTATTGCTGACAGCCTCCAAGCAATTCATTGGCCTGGATGATATTTCTGTCTGTCAGTGGAATAGCGTGGCATGCTGCGCAGGGACTGAATGAGCGTCACCTGGATGGCCGTGTAGTTTGAACAAAGCGATTAGCCGCTCGGTCTGAGTTGAGTGAATTTGCTCAACAGGACAGAGCTAATTGTTTTCACCCTCCATCTGTCATTATCTCCACACACAGACTGACTTGCAGTTAAATGGGTCGCCGTCAGCCCATGACCACCCTATCAGTGGCACAGCCTCAGTCCCGCCCCTCCGTCTCCATGACGACGATGCACTTCAAGCTCTCTTCACCAGCGTGTGCAAAAGCCAACAAGCAACCCACGTGTGAGAGACACAGTCACAAATCCATCGTCTTTCACCGCTGCACTAAATAAATGCCTCCTGCGGGACACACAGACACAAAATCTTTGCATCTGACCTCATTTTTTCCATCACAGATGTGACTCGATGTAAACTAATAATTTTGAATAAATAAATGCATGTGAACAAATACATCGCTTGCTTTAACCCTCTGATGCTGGTGTCCATTAAAGTGAAAAAAAAAAACATTCACACACTTAAAATATTATAGGAACTTATACAAAATCATTTAAAAATATATAAATATTCTAAATTATTTTATGAATAAACAAATACACCTACTGTACCCTACTGTAGAACCCAAAATTAATTTGACAAGTTATTCATAAACTGATATATTATTATAAAGCATAATTTATATCATATAACAAAACAAAATACACTCTAAACAAAACTATATATATATATGAATACTATATATCATATAGTATTCATATAAAAATATTATAATGTTATATTATACTGTATATAAATTTAAATTAAATAAAATAAATAAAATAAGCAAGCAAGCCAAAAGAACCCATGGTTAAGAATGGATTTTTTTTACATTTATTTGATTTTTTAAAATTTATTTCTTTATTATTAAATTTTTTCAAGTCAATCAAGAACCCATGATTAAGCACAAACAAGGCTATTTACTATTTCAATAGCGTCTAGCAAACATGCTGCATCAATATATAATTGTCCTGCTGTGTGCTCACTGGTGTGTGTACATCGTCTCTGAAAGAAGCTAATCCAGTCAGATTTTAGAGCCAAAACAATCCATTTTATATTAAACAATAACCCTGTTCATCCAATAATTAGCACCCCACAATAACAGCTTTGCTTTATATGACAATGTGCGAGTGAAATGTGCTTATGTAAGCTGTCCTGCTCAGCTGTTGAGTTTAAATGAGAGAAGCAGAATGAGTAGGAGGCAAGAGTGTGAGAACTGATGTTGCAAGGGACCGAGAAAAGGATCGCCAGAAGGAAAGAGAAGTAAGAGAGAAAGAGGTCGTCAGAAAAACTATAGAGACTGATTTAAAACACTTGGCATGAACAGCAAGAACACAGACCGATCTCCATCGGCTCTCCTTCGCTTCGTTGATCGCTCTTCAGACGCTTTCTGTCCCAGCGAGAGTCAGTGTTTTTATCAACAAGATGAAGGACTAAAACACAAGCCGCTCCTCAGATAAAGCTCACTGCTGCGCCTTTAACAGAGCACTGAGATGGCAAAGGATTCATGCCATGGAAAACAGGATTTTCTCTGCTTTTTTTCCCAGTCACAATGCGATGCGGATTTGCAAAGAGGCCATTATTGAAGGATGCGTCAGTGCAAACCAGACTGAACCAACAGCAAACCCACCATTTGTTAGCTATGTTCAGAACAGCATACTATCATAATTCTCTTTCTATAACCCAGAAACGACTTATACAGACATATCTGCTGCATGACACTTAAGCACATTTAAAATGCAATTAAGCACGTTTCCCAGTTTCCTGGGAACATTGAATAACTGAATAACCGTAAATATATATTAAATAAATTTTGTATACTTTTACATTTTTGTACAATTAAGAACATTGCCCCAGTATTTTTCCCATTGTAAAGCAAAATAAATAAATAAATAAAGTACACACACACACACACATATATATAAATATTACATCACACAAAAACAGTATTTTTATTTATATATTTTTTTTGCATTGTGATGTTATTTTAATGACAATTAAGCACATTTAAATTCTCTTTCCCGGTAACCCACTGTAATGTAAAATATTCTTACTCCTTAAAAAAAAAAAAAAGTCCTGCAGCAGCTTCAAAACATCACGACACACACGACGCGGCCGCTCTTGGCCCCAAAATCAATCTAAACCTCGTTTAGCTCATTAGTATTAACTCAAGAACTCATCTGATTAGATCAGAATGTGCCTGTAGGGTTAATGAATGGAAGCAAACCATCCCGTTTCCTACCAATGACATTAAAGCACTAATCTAATAATATAAACCAATAAATGACCTACTAAAGAGTGAACAACACACCTGCTAAACATCTCTAATCATCTACTGAAGATGGCCTATTGACATGCATATCTTCTCTATGGAAAATTTACCATCAATAATAAATAATGCAAACAATACAGTTTCAAAATGCTGCTTTAGTGAGTTATATTTATTAAATACACAGTACATCACCTTGAGGAGTTCTTTAGGAAAATCATGGCTGCTGTTTAGTCCTTCCAGATTCCCGATGAACTGAGTGCAGGACATTCGCTTGCCAACGTTCTGCCAACAGAAAAGACCAACACACACCTGATAAACGAGCTGTTATCAGTCCTCAATCATCTGCACAATAACACAGAGAAATCAACAGCATTCTGCCTGACTAAAAGAACTTTTACACATTTAACCTCGCAGAGAATAATATATATACACACAGAGAATAATAATAATAATTTAAAATGCAATTAATCACATTTTTCCAGCGTTTCCCAGTGTATTGTGAAAAAAAAAAAATCTTACTCCTATAAAGCAACAACGACAATAAAATTATATTATTAAATACATATAATATACATATTAAATACTTTTTAAAAATATTATATTTTTATACAATGTTTTAAAAATAAAATATACTTAAATTATAAAATATAACAAACTTATTTCAGTTAGTTGCAAAGACAACATATGTTATTTTTGAAATACTGAAATGACTAAAACTGAATATGAAATAAAGCTAAAAGTTTTTTTATGAAATAAAGCTAAACCGAAATAAAATATAATAAAATAAATAAAATAAAATATAATTACATGAGAAACCTAAACAAAAATGAGAAATTTTGCCTTCGCAACTATAAACAGAAATATTAAAAATATTGAATATAAAAAATGTAAATACTTTTTGGAATATTTTATTATAATACTAATATATATAGTATTAGTATTTGTAATAATCTATTAGTATTTATTATTTTACAAAGTGTAAACTGGACAGGGTGATTTTCCTGACATTTTTGCAATAAGAAGTTGGGAGAAAATATGATTAATAGTCATCAGCACAGTGCCATAATGCAGAAAAACTTAGATCTAAAGATATGCCTAATTTTATTTATGGAAACCAAAATCCCTTTATTTGTTCCTTAGATTCTTAAAAAAAATAAAAATAATCCAGGACATTTCGTCACCAGATTCAGCCAATGATGCATTTAAAGGTGCTCAAAAAGTCTGTAAGTTTGTAATTTATTGCACATTTTCAGATGAGATGTCAGAGTCGGGCATTTTCTGCCTCTGAAAGTCAGCATGAGATGTCCTACATTTAATCTGCGAGTGCATAAATATATGAATGTCTGGAGCTGCAGAAAGGCTCTGGAATACATCATCTGATATTGTGGACTGAGGAGTTTCATCAGAGGAAAGCTGAAATCGCTCACCGTTCTCATCAGGACCATAAACCTGTTACCATGGCGACAGTGAGTCTGGCTTATAACAGGCGTCATGTGTTCGCTGATGGCCCTAAACCCTTCAACAAAAGCACAGGAGCAGCGCTAAATATCCTGCCAGCAGACAGACATCAGCAGTGACTGACAGACCCCAGATCCCTCTGGACGTCCATCTCGCAGCCTTTTCCAGTGTTGAAGGGTTAAACAGAGCGCTTAAACTCCATAGACTTCCATTAAGTGCATTTCTGTTTTTTTTTTAATTTGTTTTGTTTTAAAACGGAGATATTGAAAACAACACTATTGTTTGCAATCATATTTCTGAGCATACAGAGCTGTTGACGTCAATTTGTAGGCCAAGCCGGAAGGCTAATTCACTACAGGATCCCTTGAGAATTTCAAATAGGTTTTTAGATTAGCAGTTAACGGACTTTCATGTTTTGTTCTTTAGCATAAATTACACACGTCAAACATGATCTCTGAATCCCTTTAAAAACATAAGTTGCGACATAAGAACCGCAACTATGTTAGTTTATGTGCTTTAAGAATCAGACAATTATATTAGTCCTTATAAAGCAACTTGGTAGCAGCTTATTTTACTTCATAAATCAAAAACCGCTGCTCTAGACCTGCAACTGAACTGAAATCAATAGTGATTTAAATCTCTGCTGTTGTGTTGTTATTGTTAACTAAAAACTAACTTATACTAGAAATATTAAAAACTGTTTTGGTAATTGAAATAAAGCTGAAATAAAATAAAATACAATAAAAAAATATTAGATGTAAAACTTAGAAATTGAAATAAACTGAAATAAGTTTAAGATGAAGTATTAAAATGACTAAAACTGAAATTCAAATAAAGCTAAATAGAAATATTAAAAATAAAATAATTTTAGATAAAAATGTAAACAAATGAAAGTTCGAAATATTGCCTTCACAACTAACTGGATTAAGTTTAAGTGCTAAAACTACTAAAACTGAAATAAAATAAAGGTATATGGAAATATGAAAACACAAAATAAAATATAAATATTAGATGAAAAACATAAAAAATAGAAATATTGCCTTCACAGCCAACTGAAATACATTTAAGTACTAAAATAATTAAAACTTAAAACAAATCTATAGTTTTAAAATTAAAAACAAAAATTAAATTAAATTACTAAGACTGAAATAAAAATAAAGCTATATCATTTGCATACAAATTTACTAAATTGGAAAAATATGTGATCTCCTTTTGAAACATAATGCATGTTCTTGAATGTGTGTGTGCTGCACTGCACTGTTGTTGAGATGAAGATTCGACCTCCATTGCTCTTGTCTGTATGGTGAAGTGAAAATACAGTGATTTGATAGAGCTGACTCACATGGCCGTGCAGGTCTGTGTTGAGCAGCATAAGCGCGCAGGTCAGCGTGTGGACACTGTCTGCGAGACACAACCACACACAAATACATATTTATACTTGTACGGCCTGTTTATCATATGCGACACACACACACACACACACACACACACACACACACACACACACACACACACACA